AGGAAAGGAAAGGAAAGGGAGGGAGGGAGGGAGGGAAGGGAGGAAGGAAGGGAAGGGAGGAAGGAAGAGAAGAAAGAAAGAAAGAAAGAAAGAAAGAAAGAAAGAAAGAAAGAAAGAAAGAAAGAAAGAAAGAAAGAAAGAAAGAAAGAAAGAAAGAAAGAAAGAAAGAAAACCTGAGTGTATCTGAAAGGCCGTTCACAAACCCAGAATAACCTTAGGCTGGGCAGTGGCTCTGAGACCAGCCCTTGTGAGAATTCTGCCGATTGCCAGCAAGAGGTTGTTTGGCTGGCCCAAGGCCGTTGCTGGATTCCTTTTTACAACCTAAGTACAGGCCACGCTGGATGTTTTATCTCTTACAACTTTATTCCAGAAAGCCGAGCTGTTTTCTCTCATCCCTGCCGGATTCTGTGACTCACTCTCCGGATAGGTCGTTATTTGTTACAGCCGAATACTGTGTCCTTTCAGCAAAGGACTCTCCGGCTTAGCAGTTACTTCAGAGGAGGCAATGTCCTTTCCCCGTGACCGATCGGAACGCCCACCTCCCATTCACATCCTTATCAGCCACGGCTGGTCCCATCCCAAATCCCTGAACTGTTTTCTCCTTGCTGTCCCTTTCCATTCTTCCTTAGCCCGAGCGAGGGCATTCTTTGCTGATTGGACTGTTGTCGTTAAGTGATTTGATTGGGGGGGGGGGGGGTTTTCCTTTTCCCTTTTTAGGGACTTTCCCTTGCCACTTTCAGAATCTGGTTTACAGTGCGATCTTAAGAACACTTTCTGCAGAGGAAGCCCAACTGAATAGACCAGGGGTCCCCAACATGGCGCCCACCAAGTGTTTTAGGAAAGTGGGTGGGGCATTCCCAGCAGGGCTTCTGATTGGCTGTACAGATTAAAATAATGTTGTTTTGGTGCCTGCTGCCACTATAGCATTAGTTTTATTCTCTCTCACACACACACTCACTCAGTTTGGTGTAGTGGTTAGGAGGGTGGACTCTAATCTGGGAGAACCGGGTTTGATTCCCCACGCCTCCACAAGCACCTGCTGGTGTGACCTTGGGTCAGTCACAAGTTCCCTCAGAGCTGTTCTCTGAAGAGCGATTCTCCAAAGAGCTCATCTACCTCCCAGGGTGTCTGTTGTGGGGAGGGGAAGGGAAAGAGATTGTAAACTGCTCTGAGACTCCTTCGGGTAGTGAAGGGCAGAGTATAAATCCAATCTCCTCCTCCTCTTCTTCATCCTCACCAGTGTATTTTTTAAAAAATTGCTTCTTTTGTCCCCTGCAGTTGGGCTTTCTGTGGGGAGGGGCTCTGCCTCCCGCGGTGGCCATTTCGTGGTTGCGGCCACCACCCTTTGTCAAAATTCCAAGGGTGCCCATGTGCTCAGAAAGTTTGGGGACCCCTGGAATAGACCCAAGTAGGCTTCTGAGTAGACCCTCCTTGGATTATACTGTTACGTTTCAGAGGGCTTAACTGAGTTTGGCTGTAACCGCAGCTGGAGGAGGTTCGTAGGGAACTGTATTGTTTTATTGGGAGGGGGCTTTTAGGTTCTACTGTTTTATTGATATCATTGGCCTGAGTGGCCGCGGTTCATTCAGCATTTTGCTACCGTCCTGAATCATCAGAGAAAAACAGGGTGTGAACGTTTTAATAAGTAAAGATTTGCCCACTTTCTCCAAGCTCATCTCACCTTTCTGCTTTTTTCCTCTTCCTTGAGGTTCTCTTGACAATACCGATTGCTTGCTCCCTTTCATTTATATGACAGCAGCGTGACACAGAGGCAGGCAATGGCAAACCACCTCTGAATCGTCTCTTGCCTTAAAAACAAGTCTAGCTCGGCACCTAGTGGTGCATAATTCTAAAAGAGCTAGAACTTCTGGCTGCCAGACTATCTTAGCATCTCCTGGCTATTTTACACACATTGCCAGGCAGGCAATGGCAAACCACCCCTGAAATGTCTCTTGCCTTAAAAAAACAAGTCTAGCTCGCCACCTAATGGTGCATAATGCTAAAAGAGCTAGAACTTCTGGCTGCCGGACAATCTTAGGATCTCCTGGCTATACTATACACACTGCCATATGATAATTATTATTTATTATTACATGGCAGCGCATATCTCCCAGATATTCACGACTGTGGAGCAGGCAGCTGTGGCTACAGAGACCTACAAGTTACAATTGTCTCCAATAATAAGATAAAATGGTGTATAACATTTTTAAGCACAAAGTGTGAGTCCAGTGGCGCCTTTAAGACCAACAAAGTGTAATTCTGGGTGTAAGCTTTTGTGTGCAAGCACACTTCTTCAGATACAAGCACACGAAAGCTTATGCCCAGAATTAAACTTTATTGGTCTTAAAGGTGCCACTGGACTCAAATTTCATTCTATTGCTTCAGGCCAACACGGCCACCCACCTGAATCTATTTTTAAGCGCATAAACTTACGTTCAGGGTTGTCTTCCTTTCGAGTAAATATGGTACCTTGAGGTTCTGAGCTCAGAACTGCAAATAAGAGTTTTTTCCCCCTTAAATTGCCTAATTTCGACACCCATCTGAAATCTGTAATGTAATTACAGATTTATACGCATTCATTATTTACTGGAAATTAATTAAAACAGACAGGCAGATATGTTTACAAGCCATCCAACAGGTTTTAATTAATAGTCTTCATTAAGACCCAAGTTTCCATAAAGTAAATATGTTCTTCAGGTAATGATTTAATTAGTCTTCTAACGTGATTGGTTCATAAAGATTATCTTTGCGACAAATTAATCCTAGGATTCAATAAACGATGCAGCTATAATTTAAGCAAGTGGTGGTAAATTTTAGCGTTGGGAGGGCGACTCCTTTCCCCCCTCTTGGATCCCATCTTGTGCCAATGCAAAACAACAACAAAATGGCATTTGCAAAAACAGTAAAGTCAAAAGAAAAGGGGGGGGGAATCGCATTACATCCAAGAAGACTGCCAAGGAGATCAATTCAGTCCCTTTACGCACTTGGATCTCATCCCTGGTTTTATCAGAGTTCAGCTCGTGACACAATACCTTGCATTTATCCCAGGTTATAACAGCATCCGTTTATCCCGGGACAAGTGTGGGGCAAAACTGGGGTGACCTCATTGTAATGTGGAGACAAAAAAATACCCCGAGATAATTACAGGGGTGAACTCGCGTGTAGTGTAGAACATAAATTCGGGGACAGGGTTGAACTGGGATTTAAAGTCTAGTGCGGAAACGACCAAAGACGACTTGAGAAAAGTAAGTCAAGCTACTAACTACGAGAATTGGGGCTGGGGAGAGAACAGTATCAGTTGTCGCAATATCCTATGGTCAATTCCTTCACAGTTCCCACCTGGAGGCTGGCGTCCCTAGCCGCAGCCACAAAATGGCTCCCACAGGAGGCCAAGCCAGCCATTCAATGGCTGCTGCAGCTTAACTTTAGGCACACGGTGAAGATCCAGTCACACAGTGGGAGCAGCTGCTGCAGAACCAACGTTTTTAAAAATCTGCCCAGCCAATCAGATCTCCAATAGCCAATCAAAAGCCTTGCTGGCCAAAAGCCCCAGTTATAGAATCATAGAGTTGGAAGGGACCTCCCGGGTCATCTAGTCCAACCCCCTGCACAATGCTGGAAATTCACAGATACTCCCCCACACCAGTGACCCCTGTTCCACGCCCAGAAGATGGCAAAAAACCTCCAAGATCCCTGGCCAAATGGGTCTGGAGAAGCTTCCTGACCCCAAAGTGGTGATCAGCAGGGCTATTTTTGGGCAGGAACGCACAGGAACAGAGTTCCGGCTGGCTCCTGAGTTGGCCACGCCCAGCAGGAACTCATTAGCATAATAGGCCACACCTAACAGCAGACATTCATTAGGATTGGCTACATTAGGGGTGTGTGGCCTAACATGCAAAGAAGTTCCCGCTACAAAAAAGCCCTGGATTTTGACAACAAAGTAAACAGAATATGAAGCAAAAGGTGGGTGTGGTTGGATGACTACACTTCTGGTAACATAAGGGGTGTTGCCTAATATGCTAATGAGCTGTGCTGTCAGGGGGTGTGATCTAATATGCTAATGGGTTTCTGCTGTTGGGTGTGGCCCATTATGCTAATGAGTTCCAGCTGGGCTTTTTCTACCAAAAAAGCCCTGGTGATCAGCATTTCCCCGGGCATGTAAGTGTCCCTGCGCCCTTTCAAAAATCATTTGGCAGTGGATGCCAGGGCACCTAGAGACACCACATAGGGGGGCCTGGTCTACAGAGAGGAAAGAGATGTAGGAGCCAGGAGGGAGTCCACGGCACACTCTCTTTCCCTCTTTTTGAAACTTAGTTTAATTTAGCCTTCTTCTTTCTCTATTCCCTAGGTCGTTGGATCGAAGATCACGGGGTGATCCATAACATGATGTTCAACACCGAGACGCTCAGGAAGTACAGCCACAAGGCGACGCAGAACAAGACGGAGTGGTGGGACAACGGGGTCTTTCCACTGTGGATCACAGCTCAAAATCAGGTATGGGGGTTAAAGTCAAGGCCCGATGACTGCAGGACAAGTACCTCCCGCATTACTCCAGTTTGGGGTTTATTATTTGTACACTTCCAAGGAGTGGACTGAAAGTTGACATAACACAAAGCGGCATCAACAACTGTTGGCCAGATCATTGGTTCCTGAATGACCCCTTCTGGTCATCTAGAAATTAACAGCCATTCCTGTTGCAAAGCTTACACATAGACATTAAAGTGATGTACTTTGACAACAGTGGCTCCTCAGAGCAGTTCAGGGACAGGGATGTGAAAACGGGTGTGTGTGTGTCAATCCACCAACACAAGTACCTTGTAATGTCTGAATTGGCCATTTGGGGCTCTGAAGAACCCAGGAGAAGAAGACGAGATTGAATTTATACCCTGTGAAGTAGGTGGGGCTTAGAGAGCTCTCTCCAGAACTGCCCTGGAGAAAACAGCTCTGAAGGAACTTGTGAATGACCCAAGGTCACACCAGCAGCTGCATGTGGATGAGTGGGGAATCAAACCCAGTTCTCCCAGATTAGAGTCCGTGCTTCTAACCACTACACCAAACTGGCATTTCCTTCATCCCTGCAGACAGCACTACTTTAGAAGCAGCTGCTTCCATTGTAGGAGAATGTTTGGGATGGGATTTACCAATGTTTTGTAACTGGCTTCACGCACCCCCATGGTTATTTCGAGGTGGTGGTGCCCACTACCCTTTCTTCAACATTCCAAAAATGCCTACAGGCAAGCTTAACAAAATTAGAGACCCTCTACTTTTAAAAAAATAAATATATACATTTCATTTAAAGTTTCAAAGAAGCAAGGACAATGCAAGGACAATTAGAATGCATAACCATTCGTGTGGACAGGATATTGCTGGAGAAAGACAGTCAATTGGCACGAAAAACAAAACAAGGTATAAAATTAACTGGATTACTAATGAGGATTCACTCAATACATGGGACTTATATTAAATACTTTGAACGTTAAATCTGCTTATGAGAAAACAAGTACGGCATACACAAGACACCATTCAACTGATAAAACATCGAAGGAATGGAACAACCTACCTCTCTCGTGGTTAGAAAGGATCAATTTAATCAAGACCATAATCTTTCCACGATATTTTTTCTACCCAGAGCTTTGCCATTTCCCATAGTTGCTAAAACTCTAAAGGAGTGGCAAAGAACTGTAAATTATTTTATTTGGTCCTACAAATGCGTGAGAATAAGTTTCCAAATCTTACGTGGGCCAAATTAGGGAGGTTAGGCATTCCTTCCTGTTTTACAACTGTAAAACATTCCTGTTTGTACAACTGAGGCCTCCCAGTTTAAAAACTTGGTGTTACTACTTAACTCAGAGTATTCCCTAGAAGAAGGCTCCTGCACATTCCTTGGACAGCAAAGGTTATAAACAAGCAAGTATTGGAGTGCATAAAACCAAACAAGCCATTGGAAGGGGGAAAAATCATAAAACTGTGACTTATTTTGGCCATGTCATGCGGAAGAACTCACTAGAAAAAGCAATTATGCTTGGATTGGTTAGCAGCAAAAGGAAACCAGGCTGCCCAAGAACACGGTGGCTAGACACCATGAAAGTCAACACCAGCCTGAGCATAGAATGACTCAAAGAAACAGTACAAGATTCTTAAAACGTGGACAGAGCTGGCCCCTAGAATCACCAAGAGTCGGAGACGGCTGAATAGCCAACAACAACTCCTTAGATTGGATGCATATAGAACTATCTAGCACTAGTCTTCATAACTTCCTAGATATCATCTGAAATAAAAGCATTTAGAGACCTGCATTTAAACAACAGAATATCTTTTTAAACAATCTTATTCGTATCTGGGATGCAAAACGGAGGCCCTCTACTTTAAAAGTTATGTTGGATTGGGCTAACGTCGTGCAGGCGGACTTCCTTATCTTTCCATCTGTTTATTTGGCCAGCAATTGGAGTCAGACTCTCAAGTTTGCCACTGACTCAAACCTGACATAAAATTCCATGATTCCATTATTGCTGATTTTCTGATTCCTCCCTCCCTCCCTCCCTCCCTCCCTCCCTCTCTCCCTCCTTCTCTCCCTCCCTGTCCTGCTCATTTGGTAAGCAGCTATAAAGAACACATTCTAAATTCTGGACCACTGCAGATTTTCAAAGGAATCTCTTGTTCTTCCAGTCACCGGTAAAGGTCCAAAGAAGGCACCCGTTTCTTAAAATCGACAAATCGGAAGGTAGTGACCAGTTGAGAAAGCCCAAAGACTGGCTTATAGCTGCATCCCCTGGACAACTGAAGATCAGCTAATTTGAAAGTCTTCCCCGGTTTTTCCACTTAGGTGGCATCAGGTTGTCTTTTCCAGGATTGTCTTCAGGTCTGAGTTGGACAAGAGCTGTTCGGCTCTTAGTTGGACATAAGAATGCCAGCCTCCAGGTGGAACCTGGGGATCCCCTGGAATTACAGCTCATCTCCAGACTATAGAGATCAGTTCTCCTAGAGAAAATGGATGCTTTGGAGGGTGGACTCTGTGGCATTGTATCCCACTGAGGTCCCTGTCCTCCCTAGGCTCCATCCCCAAATCTCCAAAAGTTTCCCAGCCCAGATCTGGCAACCATACTCCCCCAACACCCGCTGATGGCCAGGGGGACTTGGCTACCCGAGTTGGATAAAACAGACGACAACGACGACATTGGATTTATACCCCGCCCTTCACTACTCAAAGTCATCTCAGAGTGGCTCACAATCTCCTTTCCCTTCCTCTCCCCACAACAGACACCCTGGGAGGCAGGTGGGACTGAGAGGGCTCTTTCGAGGACTGCTCCTGAGAGAACAGCTCTGAGAGAACTTGTGACTGGCCCAAGGTCACCCAAGCAGCCGCAGGTGGAGGAGTGGGGAATCAAACCCGGTTCTCCCAGACAGTGTTCCCTCTAAGATGAGTTAGTGTGAGCTAGCTCACAGTTCTTTAGCTTCCAGCTCACACATTTTTGTCCCAGCTCAGGAAAAATGGCTCCAAAGCAAACTGATTTGTGCAGTAGCCAAATTGCTTGCTCACAACTTTAATGCCAGTAGCTCACAAAGCTGAATTGCTCACAAGACTCTACAGCTTAGAAGGAGTATTGCTCCCAGATTAGAGTCTGCACTCCCAGATTAGAGTCTGGACTACACCAAACTGGCTGTTTAGGGTTCTCCTCTTGCCCTGCGCAATACATCAGGACAACAGTCTCTCTTTCTACTCCAATTTTGGCGTCCTTCTTCTGTAGAAATCTATGCGTTAACCTCTGGAGAAGTCTCAGAGTTACATCTTTGGTAGAAGCCCTGTTGCCAAGGTTCTGCGGGAAGACTGAGAAACTGATGGGCTGCTGTTGGCTGATACGAACTTGACGACAAAATTAATGAAGCACCATTTGAAAATGGCTTATCGTACACTTCAGACTTACGAAGCTGATCTGAAACCAAGTCAGATCCTTGGTCCATCGAGGAACAGATTTAGTTACTCCCCCACCACGTTTTCACATCCCTGAACTACCCTGAGGAGCCACTATTGTAAAAGTACAAAGTTAGAGTCAAGGCAGACCCATAAGCAGAGTGGGGTGCTGTAGCTAACTAATTCCCACACTGAACAAGGGGGTTGGAGAAGGTGACCTCTAGGATCCCTTCTAACCCAGTGGCATGAAACTGGTCTCCTCTAAGAGAGTTTTTCTGCCTGTTAGCTTTCTTGACTGTAGAAGTCATCACCCCCAGCTGTCAGCTTGTTATCAGAATTGTTGCTTGGGCTGGCAGAAGTGATTAACTTGCAGCAGCTGAGAACTGTCACCTAAAGTGTTTGACAGCTTGCAATTTAGAGATCTATCCTGGGAGGAGTTTTCTATTGGCAAAATGGCTTTTCTTTCTGCACTGAGAACTTCAGCCCCACCAGGAAAAAAATTTGTTCCACAAGCCACAAAATCCTGGCTACGGGCCTGCTTTAAGACCAACAAAGTGTTACGTGTTCTGACAGGCAGTGACTCTCCAAGGGCTTGGGGAGAGAGCAGTGTTTCACAGCTCCTGTCGCCTGAGATCCTCTGGCTGGCAATTTTAGATACTTATACTCCACTTTTCTCTCCAAAGTGGCTTACAACATCATTCCAGGCCTCTATAAAACTAGTAAATTTGTATTCTGCTCTGTGCAGAGAGCTTTAGGCAATATAGTTGGTTCTCTCCACTTTCCTGTTTTATCCACACAACCACCCTGTGGGATAGGTTGGGCTGACTGGTCCCCCAGCAAGCTCAACAGCAGTGTGGGGACTGGAACCCATGTCTCCAAGATTCTAGAACAGCCAGTAATGGGCCAGATCTGTCACAGAGGTTAGAAACATGGAAATGCCGAGAAAAGCAGCAATCCCCCCTGACCTGGATAGCCCAGCAGGCAAGCCCAATCTTGTCAGATCTCGGAAGCTAAGCAGGGCCGATTCTGGCAAGGACTTAGAAGGGAGACCTCCAAGGAATACCAGGTCTGGGACGCAGAGGCAGGCAACACCAAGCCACCTCTCTGAAATGTCCAAGCCCCACTAGGGGTCGCCAGAAGTCGCCATGACTTCCGGGCACGCAAGCACATACACACACATGCGCACACATTAAAAAAAAACTCACCAAGAAGAACAGCAGCAAACTCTGCAAACCTTAGCTGAACAGAGGAAACTCCACATTTCCTCTACCCTCCCGCTAATCCTGCTGCGTCCTAATAAGAAATGTAATTCTGGTGACTTTGTGCTTATGCAAGCAGAGAGACGGAAAGTGATGCAAATTCGAACGGCACACGGAATGGGCTGTTTTAAAAGAAGCTCACGCAGGTAAAGGTTAAATCTAGCTTATGTCGGACTGAAAATGATCTTCATAGGGAAAAGCAAGAGCTGTTACAAAGTGCTTTATCCTGACTGAGTGAAGCGTATGGGTCAGGAGAGGGGGGGAATATGTACATCATAGCTTCGAAAGTCTACCAGCTGTATAAACCAGTGCAAAACACTCAGGAATAATAAGAACCGGTGTAAACGCCGCAATAAAAGGAAAAGAGGAAATAATAACAGGAAATCATGTTTCTCCATAAGAAATAAAAACAAAAAAGAACCCTGGTAATGCTGCCGTTTTACAACCACTGATAAAGTTGATTATGTTAATAAAACGGGGAAGGCAAAAACAGTAAATACCCGCTTTGTTTCCATGCAATTATATTTTTATAGAGCTTTATTAAATTGTCCCCTGGAATTAAGAAGGGAAAGAACTCTCCCAGCTAGATATGGACTCAATGTGAATCCTGCAACTCAGGTTAATAAGAAAGAGAGGAAAACTGGGAAGTTCCGCAACAGAGTTCTTGGGAAAGCAAAGCTTAAGTAGTGTTATTTGAGCCACACGCACATACACAAAAGAAAGAGCCTTCTGCCCCTATGTCCTAGTCCAAGTGCCAACAGGAGAACACTGGATCGGGGCCAAAATCCTGACACAGACTTTTTGATATATATGGAACACCAGAATAGATATTCCAGTGATAAAAGCAGGTCTTAGCACAATAATAATCGTGGGCCAAGTTGTAACTGACTCACAGCAACCCCAAGACCATAGAATTTGGGGCGCAAGAGATAAGCAGAGCGGCCGTGACTAAGTGCCACAGTATCTGCTTGGCACACAGAAGGTCCCAGGTTCAATCCCTGGCATCTCCAGTTAAAAGGACCAAGGAGAAGGTGATATGAAAGATCAGCTCTGCCTGAGACCCTGGAGAGCTGCTGCCAGTTGAGTAGACAATGTTGACCTTGATGGACTGATGGTCTGATACAGTAGGGGCAGCTTTATGTGGTTTGCCTCTGTGCTGCAACCCCAATCTTCCCTGGTGGTCTCCCATCAAAATAGCAACCGTGGCTGACCTTTGCTTAGCTTCTGTCATGATCTGGGCTGTGCCACCAGAGGCCTACTTGGCCCAGGGAGCCTGGCTAGCAGTAGGTGAGGCTGGGCCTACAACTCCCAGAAGCCCCTGAGAGGTTTGGGAGCCAAAATTGACCAATAGGAAAAGAGGAGGGCTTGGAATAAAAGATCTGGAGCAGCAGGAAAAGCTGTTCTTCCCAGAGGGCAGAGCCAGAAGGAAGGCTGCTGCAAGGAAGAGACCCTCATCCTGACGGAAGGGTGAGTAGTCTAGTGTCACAGTGGAATAGTGAGCTGTGGACAATATATATTTCAACACGTTAGGGAATTTGATTTCTTTTCACCCACTTACTGTTATTATTCTGCACCTTGTTGTTTAACCTCTCCTATACAATAAATTATTTTCATTGTTCACTCTGCCTGGTCCTCACGCCTATTATTCGGCCAAAAGGGGGTTCTAAAGGCCTGGGAAGGTGCTCTGGGCCTTCTCAGAGGAGCCTGGAACCAGACTGGTGGCAGCGTCAGGTGACACCCCACCTGAGCCGTGACAGCTTCCAAGCTCTGACAAGGTCGGGCTAGGCTCAAGGAGCTTGGGGGGAGGAGAGACATAGTTCTTCTTAGGGTAGCCAGGTCCCTTTTGCCCACCGGCAGGGGGAGGGGGAATGTTCCAGGAGTGGGAAATGATGTCACCCCCCCATTCCCCCTGAAACAGTGATGTCACACACAGCAACATCATGGGCGGCACTCTGGATTTTGGGCAAAACTCTATGGTAGAATTGGCATCAAACAATAGATTCTTGCCCAAAAGCCAGAGTGTCCCCCCCCCCAACATTGCTGACGTGCCAACATCACTTCAGGTGACGCAGGCACATTGTATGCAACGTCGCTGTTTTGGGAGGATTCCCTCCCACTGGCCAACATGCCTCCCACTGGCCAAAAGCCCACAGCATTGGGGGGCCCTGCCCCCACCAGGCAAATGACAACCCTAATTCTCGTTTTATCCTTACAGCAACCCTGTGAGGTTGGTTGGGCTGAAACAGCATGACAGGCCCTAAATCAGCCAGTATATTTCATAACATCTCTCATAATATTTCATAACATATTTCAGCACATATCTCAGATTCTACTGTGACACTCTAACTCACAAGTCCCCAACTTTTTTGAGCCTGCCACAGTTGCTGGGCACAGACACAAAATGGCCGCTGCAGGAGGCAGAACCAGTCACAAAATGGCCGCCCCAGCTTGCCTTCAGCCACACAATGAAGATCATTGTGCTATGGTGGAAACTGCTGCCAAGACAACCTGTTTCAATATCTGTACAGCCAATCAAATCTCCAACGGCCAATCAGAATCCTTCCTGGGCAAAAGCCTCTACCTGGCCCCACCCACTTGGTGAGCACCAAAAAAAGGTGTCTGGTCGCTATGGTGCCCACAAGCACCATGTTGAAGACCCCTGTCCCAACTACTACACCACAACATCTCTCAATCATTATTAACTTGGGGCTGGCAACCCCCCCCCCCCCCCCCCTGCGAAGCAAGGTTTTTAAATAAGCGGTGACCTTTCCCCAATCCTAAAGCGGTGTATTAAATGTCACTAAGAACATTATTATTTTACAGCCTCAGGTTAACAATCCAGAATTAAATTCGGTACAGGAGAGGAAAGAAATAATTAAACCCTGTAAGGTGCTATCCTGCAAATCATTTAACTAAATAAAAAGACTCTCTGTATTATTTGTGGGTGAAGGATGCGTTTTCCCACTTTCTCTTTGACAAATTCTTCATATAGGAACGGAAGGAAAACTCTGCTTTACTGGGAAGGGTAAGAAAACATTGCCTGACTTATTGTCACGGTCACCTGATGAGAAGCACTTGCTCAGTTGTGAGGTTTTAGCCCGTCACATTTTTAGTCTCTCTGGAATTCTTGATTCCCCCTGGGAATAATGTTTCTTCTCTCCTCTCGGGACCGAACGTAATTTCTTATTGGTGCTTTCTCTCTTGGGGGGACTCAAAGTTGAAGAAGGAAGGTAGTGTCTCAGCTACTTTGTCACACTATACTGGCCTATACCAGTCTACTTTCACCCATAGGCTCAAAAAGGTTGGGGACCACTGTTGGACCATAACATGATTGTAGCTACGCTTGTTCCTGTGGGTACGCTACCCAAGCGAAGGACCAATTTGCCTCACCGTATGTTGAAAACTGCTTGTGCTTAAATTCTACTTTGTGAGTCACTGGCATTAAAGTCATGAGCGAGTGATTTGGCGACAGCCTAAATTAGAAGACGAAGAGAAGAGGCTGGTTTTATACCCCACCCTTCACTACCCAAAGGAGTCTCAGAGCGGCTTACAAACTCCTTTCCCTTCCCCTCCCCTCCCCACAACAGACACCCTGTGAGGTAGGTGGGGCTGAGAGAGATCTGAAAGAAACTGCTCTTTTTCAAGAACAGCTGTGACAAAACTATGGCTTGCCCAAGGTCATCCAGCAGGTGTAAATGGAGGAGTGGAGAATCAAACCCGGTTCTCCCAGATCAAATTAGTGTGAGCCAGAGGCTAAGAAACTGTGAGCTAGGTCACACTAACTCAGCTTAGAAGGAACACTGGCTTAGACTGTGACCGATTCCCCACAAGCAGCTGTGCCACCGTCGCTCGTCCGTTTCCCCCGGTTGTACTGATCAATTTCACACTATTCGCTGTGCAGCTGCATTTTGACTCACATCTTCCCCCAATTTCCTCCATGTCTTGTTGATCCTCAAAAAACAGGATTGAGAAGACGCGGGGGAAATCGGGGGGAGATGCAGGTCAAAATGCGGCCACTCAGCAAGTAGTGTGAAATTGACCAATACAACCATGGGAAACGGAAGAGCCGGTGGCACAGCTGCTTGTGGGGAATCGGTATGTATTTACAAATATGGATACTGGCATTTTGCATTTTATTACTACCTTTTTCGTACAGTACAAACATTCCCCTAAGTCTCCTTTTGTGTATATATTTTTTTCTTTCCAGGGGAAAAAAACCGCCTCGTTTCATTATCCAGGAGGAGGAGCCAATTACAGCGGTCAGGCAGTTCAGAGAAGCCTGGTTGAAGCCTTCGGCCACCCTGACAGCAATGAGACGGAATGGCGAGAGAATATCGATATCGTCATGAACTGGTTCACCCGGGAAGATTTCGATTTTGTCACCCTGTATTACGGGGAGCCCGATAAAGTGGGTCACAATGTTGGCCCTGAAACGGAAAACCGGAAAACGATCATCCGACAGATAGACCGAACTGTCGGCTACCTGAGGGAAGCCATTGAGAAACATGGCTTGCAGGATAGCCTTAATGTCATAATTACATCCGATCACGGTATGACAACCATCAAGAAGAAACCAGACGTCGAGGAGATCATGTTGGCCAACTACATTAAATTCAAGGACTTGGTGAAGTTTGACATCCTAGACTATGGTGGGTTCGGGATGATTCTGCCAAAACCGGGGAAAGAAGAAGAAATCTATCAGGCTCTGAAAAATGCCCACCCTCACCTCAATGTCTACAGGAAGGAAGAGTTTCCGGAAAGCTTCCATTTTGCAAAACATGAACGGGTTTTGCCGATCTTGCTTTATGGAGACTCTGGTTACAGTGTCAATGGGGTAAGTTTAGTACGAAAACTCAGGTCCGGCTCCAACACGAGTTTGTTGTTTTTTTCTCATGCAAGTATAACGCAGATCTCAGTAAACAAGTTAAATTGTGTACACGCATTTGGCGGTGGAAAGTGTTGCCGTGTCCCAGGTGATTTATGGAGTTTTAAAGGCAAGAGACATTCGGAGGTGGTTTGCCGTTGCCTCTGCATCACGACCCTGATAGTCTTCGGAGGTGTCCCATCCATAAGAAGAGCCCTGCTGCTGGATCAGACCAGTGAGGGTCCATCTAGTCCAGCATCCTGCCTCACACAGTGGCCAACCAGCTCCTCTGGAGGGCTAACAACAGGGCACAGAGGCCGAGGCCTTCCCCGATAAGAATATCAGAAGAGCCCTGCTGGATCAGACCAGTGGTCCATCTAGTCCAGCATCCTGCCTCACACAGTGGCCAACCAGTTCCTCTGGAGAACCAGCAAGAGGGCATAGAGGTTGAGGCCTTCCCCGATAAGAACATCAGAAGAACCCTCCTGGATCAGACCAGTGGTCCATCTAGTCCAGCATCCTGCCTCACACAGTGGCCAACCAGCTCCTCTGGAGGGCCAGCAACAGGGCAGAGAGGCCGAGGCCTTCCCCTGAGGTTGCCTCCTGGCTCTGGGATTCAGAGGTTGACTGCGTATGAACATGGAGGTTCCCTTCAGTCACCATGAATAGTAGCCACTGATAGACCTATCCTTCATGAATCTGTCTAATCTCCTTTTCAAGCTGTTTGTCCCTGTGGTCGTTACTATATCCTCTGGCAGCGAATTCCACATTTTAATCACTCTCTGTGTAAAGTAGTGTTTCCTTTCCTTGTCAGGGCTGACCCTGCTTAGCTTCCGAGATCTGACGGGATTAGGCTAGCCGAGGCTAGCCCGGTCGGGGTGTGTGCATATTTAAGGTAAAGGTAAAGGTTTCCCTTGCTCAAAAGCCAGTCGAATCCAACTCTAGGTTTGCAGTGCTCATCTCCGTTTCAAAGCCGAAGAGCCAGCGCTGTCCAAAGACGTTTCCGTGATCATGTACCTGGCATGACTAAACACCGAGGCGCACAGAACACTGTGACCATCCCACTGAAACGGTACCTATTTATCTACTTGCAGTTCCTTGCTTTCAAACTGCTAAGTTGGCAAGAGCTGGGGTCAGAGCCAGGAGCTCACTCCGTCATGCAGCACGCGGGTCTCAAACTGCCGAACTACAGACCTTCTGGTCTGCAGCTCAGCATCTTAACCTCTGAGCCACTTCGGTCCCATGTGCATATTTACTGATACGTAATGCATTCCGAGTAGAGAATTTTTAGTGTTGTGGCATGCAGGTCATCCTTCTCTGGCTTTACAAAAATCCCCAACCCATGAAAACACGTTAAAGTGTAGATTGGGTAGGGAAAGGTAGAAAAGCGCATGATACAGCTTGTTAAAAGATTTGTGAGCACTGATTCTGAATACAGCCCCCATATGGTAAACTATCAGAGCTGCTGAGTTCTCCAGAGCTAATAAAATGCAGAACCTGGCAAAACAGAATCAGAGAGTTCTACACATGCACATGCATTCTGCAGAAAGGTTCCGTTTGTGTGTGTGTGCTATGCGTTATATTTTATATATAACCAGCAGTAGATAACCTGCCCCACAGAGCTGTTACGAGAATAAAATGGAGGAATGGAGAATGATGTAAACCACATAGGGTGCCCATTGGGTCAAAAAGACAGAGTATAAACAAAAAAAATTTTTTTTGCATGGCTTCCCATTCTTCCTTCATGGAATTCAAGGTGGAATGCATGGGTTTAGGGTTGCCAACCTCCAGCCAGTGGCTGGAGATCTCCTGGAATTACGACTGATTTCCGGACAACAGAGATCGGTTCCCCTTGCGAAAATGGCCGCTTTGAAAGGTGGACTCTAGGACATTATACCCCACTGAAGTCTCTCCCCTCCCTAAGCCCCACCCTCTTTAGGCTCAATTTCCTTCCCCCCCCCCCAAAAAAATCTCCAGGTATTTTCAAACCCGGAGCCAGCAACCTTACATGCGTTATTTAGGTGGACTTCCGTCCTGCACTGATCAGACCCAGGTTCTGCTTAGCTTCAGCCAAGTTCATTGCATGGCATGCCTATAAAAAGTTTATTGTGGGGTCACTTCAAGAAGCCTGATTAATTTCTCAGCTTCTCACTGGCAGTTCAGCTAAGAACACCTCTTGCACACATTACATTGCCTAAGCTGCACAGGTAGGATTTTTCAAAAGGCACCCCCAAACGATTCAGTGTGAATACCATCTCCCCTCTTTTCTGGCGGCACAACAGTGCCATATAGTGGCCGGTGAACCAAGAGCCTTACCGGTTCTCTGCATTTGGAGTTCAGAACCCCGGGCTCCGTGCTAACCAATTCCGCAGTGTGTCTGCCTTTCCCACCTCCCTGTAAATTATTTGTTTAAACCATCTCTGTCTTCAGCTCTTAAAAGTGTCACTTTTGAGGAGGCGAGTAATCACCACATACAAATACCTAATTAAAACCCGAAAGACTAATAGTCTGAATTCTGTACAGGTTTCTTATTTATACACCCTGTTTGGAACGCATTCCCAACAACTCTTTAATACACGAGACGAAGGGAGCTTTGACGCGTGAAAGCTCAGACCCCAAAAAATCTTGTTGGTATCTAAGGGGTTACTGGACTCATTTGTAGCTGTTCCACTGTAGAACAACGTGGCTACCTTTTCACAGTTGGCGTGAGGACTTTCGAGAGAGAGAGAGAATAAAGGCTGGGGGTTTGGATTTCGGATTAGAAAAACTAGATTCGACTCCAGTAGAACGACAGAGAACAACACGATTTTGAGCAGATATGAGCTTTCGAGAGCTTGGGTTTGCCAGGTCTCCCGGGCCACCGGCGGAGGATGCGGGGGCATAGGGTTGCCAGATCCAGGTTGGGAAATCCCTGGAGATTTGGGGATGGAGCCTGGAGAGGGCAGGGACTTCAGTGGCGTACAAGGCCATACCAGTCCACCCTACAAAGCATCCATTTTCTCCAGGGGGACTGAGCTGTGGAGTCAAAGTTGTGGGGTCTTCTGAGCGAAAATTCTACTTTGTGAGCTGCTGGCATTAAAGTTGTGAGCGAGCCATTTGGCTGCTGCCTAAATCAGCTTGCTCTGGAGCCCTCCTTCCTGAGCCGAGAAAAAAAATGTGTGAGCCGGAGGCTAAATAACTGTGAGCTAGCTCACACTAACTCAGCTTAGAGGGAACACTGATCCTCAGGTCCCACCTGGAGGCTGGCATCCTTACCTGAGACCCTGGAGAGCTCTTGCCAGTCACAGAGTAACCAATGCTCACCCTGATGGACTAATAGGCTGACTCAGTGTAAGAATGTGTTCCAAAATTGATTCCCCACTGGCAGGGGTCGTTTCGTAGAAAAAGAGCTAGGGGAACTCATTAGCATAACTCATTAGCATATGCCACACCCCGACATCAGGGGCCCGGCGGTGGACCTGCAAGGCCGGTGGGAGTGTGAGGAAGCCCCGCCAAGGCCCTCCCTGGCCCCAGGCAGGCAGGGGTGGGGAGAGGCGGAGAGGGAGCAACTTACCCTCCCCTCTTCTCCTGCCTCCTCCTGGCTGAATGAGGGCCGGAAGCGGGGCGGGCGGAAGCAGGGGGCGGGGCTTCGTCGTGTGCCCCGCCCCCCGCACCTCACCCGGGGGAACTGCAATCCCCCGCGATCCCCCCCGAATCGACCTCTGCCCACTGGCATCCCTGTAATTGAGAGTCAAAGCTTCCTTTCTCAGAAACCTCTCAAAAGCTCAGACCCCCAAAACATCTTCTTGGTGTCCAAGGGGCTCCTGGACTCAATTCGAGCTGCTTCACTGCAGACCAACACAGGGACCCTCAGAAACTATATTTAACATGAGATGATGATGAAGAAGAGGAGATTGGATTTATACCCTGCCCTTCACGACCCAGAGGAGTCTCAGAGCGGCTTACAAACTCCTTTTCCTTCCCCTCCCCACAACGGACACCCAACAAGGTGGGGCTGAGAGAGCTCTCTAAAAAACTGCCCTTGAGAGAACAGCTCAGAGAACTTGTGACTGGCCCAAGGTCACACCAGCAGCTGCATGAGGAGTAGGGAACCAAACCCGGTTCTCCCAGATTAGAGTCCGCGCTCCTAACCACTACACCAAACTGGTGCTCTCAATATAAATGCATTGTTTTATGTATTTTGGTATTTATTGGCCTGTTTTAACTTATTTTTAAATTTGAGATTGTATATTCTGTTGTAAGCTGCCCTGAGCCCTACTTATAGGAAAGGGCTGCCCAGTAAATCCAATTAAATAAATAAATAAATAAATAAATAAATTTGGATTAATATAAATGTATGTGGAAGTTCGTTGACTTTCGTTTTTTTTTTTTCTGACAGAGGTTTATCTTATACATCAACAAAGGTGATCACGGATTTGACAATCAGCACCCGGACATGCGGACCATATTCAGGGCTTTTGGCCCAGACTTCAAAAAGGGCTATTTGGCGGATCCCTTTGACAGCATCCACATTTACCCGCTGATGTGTCACCTTCTAGGAGTCCAGCCGGAACCTAACAATGGCTCCCTAGCGTTCACTCGGCACATGCTCAGATCTGCAGCAGCAAAGACGCTCCTCCTTCTACCCCTCCTTGTAGGTGCAGCAATACTGGTCCAGCTTCTAGCATCCATCTGAACTGCACCAGGCAGGCCCGGGCAGTGTAAGAAGAGGTAAGAAGAGGTTTAAAAAGTTTCCTGGAGCAAAGGAGGAAGCTGCAATTCACTAGCTTATTTAGAAGCACTCACTGCTTGGGAAAGGCCACAGTTCAGCAACAGCAACATTCTTGGTTCGTGAAAGGCCCAAACTTCAGTTCCTGAGGTCCACCAGTGCAGAACACAGGGGTCGTTTCGTAGAAAAAGAGCTAGGGGAACTCATTAGCATAAATCATTAGCATATGCCACACCCCCTGACATCACCGGAAATGTGTCATAAGTCCACACACCGAAGGCCCTCCCTGGCCCCAGGCAGGCAGGGGTGGGGAGAGGCAGGGAGGAAGCAACTTACCCTCCCTCTTCTCCTGCCTCCTCCTGGCTGAATGAGGGCCGGAAGCGGGGCGGCCGGAAGCAGGGGGCGGGGCTTCGTCGTGTGCCCCGCCCCCGTACCTCACCCAGGGGAACTGCGATCCCCCGCGATCCCCCCCGAAATGACCTCTGGCAGAACACCCCAAGCAAGTGTTTCTCTCACATTCTCCCATGAGCTCAGAGTTTCCTTACTTCAACCATAACACTTAAGCCAAGAAGTGGAGAAGAGATTGGATTTATACCCCACCCTTCACTCAGAGTCTCAGAGCAGCTTAAAATCTCCTTTCCCTTCCCCTCCCAACCCCTGGGAGGCAGGTGGGACTGAGAGAGCTTTCTCGAGGACTATTTGTGAGAGACCAGCTCTGAGAGAACTTGTAACTGACCCAAGGTCACACCAGCAGATGCATGTGGAGGAGGAGATTGGATGAATACCCTGGCCTTCACTACCCAAAGAAGTCTCAGAGAGCTCCTTTCCCTTCCCCTCCTCACAACAGACACCCTGTGAGCAGTGTTCCCTCTAAGCTGAGTTAGTGTGAGCTAGCTCGAAGAATTTTAGCCTCCAGCTCACAGATTTTTGTCTTAGCTCAGGGAGGATGGCTCCAGAGCAGACTAATTTATGCAGTGGCCAAATCGCTCGCTCACAACTTAAATGCCAGCAGCTCACAAAGGAGAATTTTTGCTCACAAGACTCCGCAGCTTAGAGGGAACATTGCCTGTGAGGTAGGTGGGGCTGAGAGAGCTCTATCCTGGACTGCTCCTGAGAGAACAGCTCAGAGAGAACTTGTGACTGACCCAAGGTCACACCAGTAGCTGCCGGTGGAGGAGCGGGGAATGAAATCTGATTCTCCCAGATTAGAGTCCGCGCTCCTAACCACCACACCAAACCGGCTCTCCAGTAAGGGACTGGCTCAAGGTCACCAGTAAGATTTGGAGATGGTTTGTCTAGGCCCACGTTCAGCCCCCTAACCGCTACCCTATGCGGGCTATCCAGCCGACGTGGTTGGTCTCACAAGCAATATGCCCATTGATTTAGGGATGGCAAACCTCAGGCAGGCTCTAGGGTTGCCAGCCTACAAGAGGGGCCTGGAGATCTTCCACTATTATGGAGTTCCAGGCGTCCAAGATCAGCCGGAGAAAACAGCTGCCTTGGAGGATGGAATCTATAGCATTGTACTCGTTCCCTCCCCAAACCCTGCCCTCCCCAGGCTCCAACCCAGGCCCATAGCTAACATGGAGCCCATGGGGCCTAGGCTCCCTAGCGTTTCTTCTGGGTCCCCTCCCTCCCGGGCTGGCCCCAAAAAATTAATTAATGCAATTAACTTTGATTTAACTAGCTGCCCCCAAAGTCCCCTCCCCCAAAAAAATCCTGTTTACAGGCAGGGCTTTTTTTGTAGAAAAAGTCCAGCAGGAACTCATTAGCAAAATAGGCCACACCCAGCAGCAGAAACTCATTAGCATATTAGGCCACACCCCCTGACTGCACCACTCATTAGCATATTAGGCCGCATTCCCATGTTACCAGAAGTGTGGTCATCCAAGCCACACCCACCTTTTGCTTCTTATTCTGTTTACCTTGTTTGTGGTCAAACCCCCAGGGCCTTTTTTTGTAGCAGGAACTCCTTTGCATGTTAGGCCACACACCCCGAATGTAGCCAATCCTAATGAGTTCCTGCTGTTGGGTGTGGCCTATTATGCTAATGAGTTCCTGCTGGGTGTGGCCAACTTGGGAGCCAGCCGGAACTCCGTTCCTGTGCGTTCCTGCCCAAAAATAGCCCTGGTTACGGGGCTTCTCCATCCACAAAATCTCCAGGTATTTCCTCACACAGAGCTGGCAGCCCTAGATACTGGTATTCTGTTTTTCTACATGCTTGGTAATAAACTGATGTTATCTACGCTAAGTAGAAAACGGCAACACGACTATCGTAAGAAGGAGATTAGCAAGCAGCATGTACCGAGCCCCATTCTCGGCAGGTTCCATCTGTCACTCCGGCAAGACATCCGCCATCTTCACAAATCACAATTTGCACGCTGAAAACCTCAATAAAAACACCGGAACGCTCATTTCCGACTCATAATTTAGTTATGTTTCACTCACCCATCGATTATTCTGGAATGAAATATCAATGCGAGCGTTATTGTGCTGCGTGAAAGCGGTTCGAGTAAACAACATGTATATGTATAAAACTTCCTCTTCAATTCAATCAGCCGGCAATTATGAAAGCTATTTTTCTCTCCCTCTTTGGTTTGTTTGTGAGAATATAAAACACTTCACGCAATTTTCCTTTTGTCTTCCTACTCTTTGGGGCCCTTAAAGACCCCACCACAAACTACTGTTTAACAGGAACATGTCTTAAGCGGTCAAACTAAAAAAAATGCAGGCCGTTCCAAGGAAATATGGTGATAATTAAGCTTTTGCTCCTTAATTACCAATTTCCCCTTTGTTCCTCCACCATACTCCACATTTTACGTATGTGTGCAGTATTTGGGGCTTTTCAGTCTTGAAAAGATGACTTGAGTAGAACATGGTAAAGATTTATAAAATCATGCATGGTGCAGAAAGGGTCGGTAAGAGGGCTCCTTTTTCCTTCCTCTCTAGGGTTAACATCCCTCACAATGGGGGGGTGGAAGTTCCCCCAAATTCAAGGGCCCCAATCTGCCCACCGGCCAGCCCCGCCCCAGAAGAGCTCCACGGCACCTAACATGGCCAGCATGACGACTTCACCTGGAGATGACATCATTGCCCCAGGCACATTGTGTGGGGGACACTCTAGGATTCAGACAAAAACTCTATGGTGACAATAGAGCTTTGGGCCAAATGCTAGCGTGTCCCCTACACAACATGCCTGGGGCGATGATGTCACTTCCACCAGAAGACCCCGGGAAGCAGCCAGGAGCCCCCCCACCTGCAGATAGTAGGCACCTGACAACCCTATTCCTCTCCTAAAATAATAGAGCCCAAAGACACCCGGTGAATAGGGTTGCCACCCTTTAGGTGGCACCTGGAGATCTCCTGCCATTACAATTGATCTCCCGATGACCAAGATCAGTTCCCCTGGAGAAAATGGCTGCTTTGGAGGATGGAACTCTAGGGTATTATATGCTGCTGAGCTCCCACCCCTCTCCAAACCCCATCCTCCCCAGGCTCCACCCCCAAAATCTCCAGGTATTTCCCAACCCTGGCAACCCTACCCAATGAAGCCAGTGGCCGGTACATCGCATTGCTCATGCTCACCACTTGACACCTATAGCATGAGAAAATATATTTACATATGTAGCTGTGAGTTCTTACATTTGCATAGCAAACTTGTTCCGCTCCTAATTAACAACAGCAGAGCAGATGTTTTATTAAGCTTATCATCGATCTCTGGTTAAAAAAAAAGAAAAAAGCATCCCGGAACGCCTTGGACAATGTCAGAAGCGGCCACGATCTGCGCAAGCGGCGACGGGCGGCACCCGTTCAAAGCACATTTTCAAAGATTGCACATATGCTTTGTTGCCGGTTTTGTGGACTGTGAAATGGGGAGGCAATAGGCTTTTCATAAACAGCTTTGCCAGAGTGAACGGTATGAAATCTCTTCTTTTAAAAAACTGTCAGCTGTGATGTTTCTAGTCAAGATGTAACATTTCTGTTTCACTTCAACAACAAAAAAAACACCGGTGTGACGTTTTTGAAAACCAAGAGACCACGGTTTATGGCAATGCAAAGGAGTCTTTGATCTGGATGCAAATTGCCGCCAAACCGAGGATGACACCAACTGTGTGAGTGTTAAGGGCCATCAAGTTGCTTCTAATTCATGGCAACCCTATGAATTAATGACCTCGAAAATGACCTCGAAAATCACGAACACCCTTGCTCAGGTCTTGCAAAGGGAGGTCCGTGGCTCCCTTGATGGAGTCAATCCATCTCAGGTTGGGTCTTCCTCTTTTCCTGCTGCCTTCAGTGTTTCCGAGCATGATCGTCTTTTCCCAGCATGATTGTCTTTGCCTATGAATTAACGTCCTCCAAAACATCCTGTCCTTAACAGCCTTGCTCAGGTTTGGCAAACGGATGGCCTTTGTGGCTTCCTTAATGGAGTCCATCCATCTCCTGTTGGGTCTTCCTCTTTTTCCTGCAGCCTTCCACTTTCCCCAGCATTATTATCGTTTCCAGTGAGTCTCATTGTCTCATAACGTGACCACAAAGTACGATAGCCTCTGTTTAGTCATTTTAGCTTCTAGGGAGAGTTCATGACCAACTAGGGTATAATAAATAAGCTCGCTGACTGGTCTCAGAAGCAATAGTTACAACATTTTTATAGCTTTCCCATACCAATTTAACACCTTCAGAGGAAAAGACGACCTTGGTCTTGACTGAGCCCTAGATGAATAGAACTAAAGTTGCTGGTAAATTCTGCCCCGAATTGGAGACGAGCTACCCAATCACCTGTCCTAAGACATTTTTATCTCCCCAAACATTAAACATCTGTCAGTCTCACTCCTGGTGAATAGTTTTGTAGAAAAACTGAGTGGGATGGGAAACTTAGCTACGTTTGTAGAATGTGTCAGCTTTCACCCGAAGGAATCCACCCCCCACCCCACCAGGACAGTTGCTTAACACACAGGGATGGGCAAACCAGTTAGAGCGCCAGCATGGAGCAGTGGTTGAAGTGTCAGGTTACGATCTGGGAGACCCAAGTTCGAATCACTACTGTGCCATGGAAGCTTGCTGGGTGACCTTGGGACAGTCACACTCAGCCTGACCTACCTCACAGGGTTGTCATGAGGATAAAACAGAGAAGAGGATGATGATGTGAGACACTTTAGTTCCCATTGGGGAGAAAGGCGGGGGATAACGGAAGTAAATAAAATTAATAAGTAAGACCAACTCTGTGCTCTGTTGGCATGGTCGGAAATTCTGCAAATCTGTCCCGTGCTACAGATTCCAGCAATTACTGCTCAGTCAGCCTACAGGAAGGGGCAAGGAAACAAAAGATGGTGTCAAACCAGCGCAGAGACTGAAATTCGGTGCTACCGCGCTCTACCATCATCCCAAATCCATAACAGCTAATAAAACCTCTGTTCGAATAGAACACGTTCTTGAAAACTTCTCTCTTTTTAAAAAATGTATTCTGTTCATTTGTAGACTGCCATTCTAATGAGGACCAAAAACGTTTTGCTGTCAACCGGCTTGTGATGCGTCATCTGTTTCCCCGGAAGAAATCCTGGTGTAGGGATAAAGGCCTCACTTGTGTGCAGTAAAATGAAGCAGCAATGCGATGGCCGAGGCCTGAGGTGGAGTTGTTTGGGGGGGGGGGTTGCAGAGAGAATGAGCTGGTAGGTTCCTGAGGTGGCTGTAGGGACTGTTCCACTTAATACCATGTGATAGAAGAGACAGAAAAACCTCCTTTAAAAAAAATTCTGCAAAAACTGGAACTGCAGTAATTCCTTACCAAGAATTTTTCTCCCCCATATCCTAGATTTATTTGTTTTACTTGCAACGATTTTTGTCTGCCGTATGCATAGGCCACACTGCATTCAATTAACATATGTGGAATTTGGGACTAAAAAGAAATAGTTTGCTTTTGTTATACTGTGGTCGAGCCTCCCCAACAACACACACACACTTTTAAGACTGTGTCTCCGACAGGAATATGAAGAACCGTAAAAGCACGGCAACAACTGGATCTCTGTTCAAAAACACCAATGTGCTCCTTTTTGGGAGGCAAAAAAAAAGTTGTTAAATGTATAGTCAAATCTTAAATTTGCTTTTATTCGCTTGCTTGGAAAAAAGGGGGAGATAGGAATAAAAAACCCAACAGAAATGTGTTTCCTATGGGTGTTGTGTATTTTATCGCTCTTCCAAGTTTCTAGTTCTCATTATTGAAGAGAAGGGCCCAAGGAAGGAAGGAACATGAACAGGCATTATTCAAAGTGCCATTGTGCTTTATAAACTCCAGTCTTGCAAACTCCACTTAATCATCATTATAGAACAATACCCAGATACAGCTAAAGTATGTGGGCTGGGCATGCTTTGCTAGAGAGAATAACATTACAGGTGGATAGCTATGCTTCTACCCCACAGCCATATCTGTGTTTAAATGTCATACGATAAGAGCTTATAACGTAAAATACGCAATAAGGAAAGGCACAGAGAAATGAAAGAAAGAGACAACAAGAGTAGAGAGGGTGGCTGTGGTGGGCTAAACTAACTTGGTTACAGCTGGGAATGAGGACTAACAGTGCAGTCCTACACCAGTGTGGTATGGTGGCTAAAGTGCCGGATTAGGGCCTGTGAGACTCCAGGTTCAAATCCCCGCTCATGCCATGAAAGCTTGCTGGGTGACCTTGGGCCAGTCACACACATCCAGACTAACCTACCTCACAGGGCTGTGGTGAGGATCAAGCGGGGGAGAATCAGTGAGCGGTTTTTGGATCCCCATTGGGAAGAAAGGCAAGATGTAAATAAAGTCAGCAAATAAATAAACAGAGTTAATTACACCCTTCTAAACCCGATGACTTTCATGAACTTAAAAGCACGTAATATAATTTCGAATTGCATTCATTCATTCCTTTGTTTGGTGTAGTGGCTTGGTGTCGTGGTTAAGTGCGCGGACTCTAATCTGGGAGAACCGGGTTTGATTCCCCCACTCCTCCACTTGCACCTGCTGGATGACCTTGGGCAAGCCATAGTTCTGATAAGAGCTGTCCTTGAAAAAGAGCCGTTTCTGTCAAGAGCTCTCTCAGACCCACCTACCTCACAGGGTGTCTGTTGTGGGGAGGGGAAGGGAAAGGAGTTTGTAAGCCGCTCTGAGACACCTCTGGGTAGTGAAGGACAGGATATAAAACCAATCTCTTCGCTTCTTCTTCCTTTTCCTTTACCACCATGGAGGGAAGAAAGATGAGAGGCGAAAGAAAAGGCACAGGCCATCCAAGTATGCAAGAACGTCAGAAGAGCCCTGCTGGATCAGACCAGGGGTCCATCTAGTCCAGCATCGTTTCTCAAACAGGGGCCAACCAGTTCCTCTGGAGGGCTAAATGAACAGGGCACAGAGGCTGAGGCCTTCCCCTGAGAAAATCATCAGAAGAGCCCTGCTGGGTCAGACCAGTGAGGGTCCCTCTAGTCCAGCCTCCTGTCTCACACAGTGGCCAGCCAGTTTCTCTGGAGGGCCAAACAGAGGGCAGAGAGGCCAAGGCCTTCCCCTAGTGTTGCAGCCTGGCTCTGGGATTCAGAAGATTGGTGCCTCTGAATGTGTAGAAGCTACCCTTACCTACCATGTCGAGTAGCCTTTGATAGAGCTGTCCTCCACAAATCTGTCTAATCCCCTTTTAAAGCTGTTTGTTCCTGTGGCCATCACCAGAGCCTCTGGCAGTAAATTCTACATTTTAATCACTCTCTGTATAAAGTGGCATTTCCTTTTGCCCTTCCTGAATCTCCTGCCCATCAGCTTCCTTGGATGCCCTCAAGTTCTAGTCTTTTGGGAGAGGGAGAAAAAAAAATGCCTTGGTTAACTCTTTCCATCACATGCATAATTTTAGAAAACTCTATCATGTCCCCCCCCCCCCAATCATCTCTTTTCCAAATTGAAAATTCCCAGACTCTTCCACCTTTCCTCCTAGAGAAGGGGCTCCAACCCGCTCCATCATCTTGGTCTCCTCCCCTCCTCTGTACTTTTTCCGACTCTGCAATGTCCTTTGGGAGATAGGGTGACCAGAACTGCACACGGTATTCCAAATGAGGCCGTCCCACAGATCTACTCGGGGGCATTACGATATTGGCCGTTTTGTGTTCAGTCCTTTTCCTAAAAAGCCCTAAAGACAGAGTTTGCCTTTTTCGCCACTGCAGCACACTGGGACGACACTTTCACTGAGCTCTCCACTACGACCCCAAGATCTCCCCCCCTCCCCCGTCTCAGCCATCTCCCTACCTAAAAATACCAGATAGACACCGGGTGGACCCTCTGCACATGCTCAACGGAAACGGCAATCCCCCGCGGCCACAAAAACGCCCCCTTTGCATTGCAAGCTCCCCTCCCAACAATAGGGGGCGCCTTTCGCCTGCGCTAGTCACTCGACACGTGTCCTCTCCCCAGCCCGAATCCGGATCTGTGCATGCAAACAGGGTCCGGATCCTGCCAAATGCTGGGCACCCAATTCCTCCTCACACCCCACATTTTTTTCTGCGCGCGGCCCTGCCCCTCCGCCCCCGGAGGCCGGGCGCAGGAACCGGGTGGGAGGCGCGGCTTGGGCCGGCCGGCGGAGCGCGCGGAGGAGGAGCCGATGGCGGAAGAGCAGGCGGTGGCGGCGGCGGCCGAGGGAGGGGAGGAGGAGGGCCCGGCGGAGCGGCGGCGGGGGCTCGCCT